GTGTCCAACTCTTTGCGACCCATGGACTGTAGCCGATCAGGCTCCTCTGTCCATGGGGATTCTCTGGGCAAGAATACTGGAGTGGGTTGCCATTTCCTTCTCCAGGGGATCTTCCTGACCCAGGGATTGAACCTGGGTATCCCTCATTGCAGGCAGATTCTTTATCATTACTCCCAAGCTCAACTTTGAGCATCAGGATGAATAGTTGAGCCATTTACCAAGAAGAGACACAAAATCACTGTCTGGGGAAAGGAACAGGATCTGTATATTTCTAGAAATCTCCCAGATGATTCCAATGGCTAGTCCCAGTTGAGAAAAATCAAACAAGAGGCATGGTATAGAGGATAGTAGTTAAATTTAATGACTAATGATTGTATCTTTCTTTGGAGGTAGCTTGCCTTGTTCAAAATTTGTCACTGGGGAAGTTGGCTTCCTCATTTGAAAAATGGAAATAACAACAGAACATCTGTTATGGAGCTGTTGTAAACCATTAATCTTATAAAATATGTGGAACATTTTCAAGCTACCCTTCTTATATCAGTCAGTTGAATCGGCCAGGTGCTTTCACATCGCCAAGCTCTCGCTTCTCCTCTTGCTTCTTCCACGTTGTGATATCCCAAATTCTCTTCAGAGAGAGTCTTCCTTGACACTCTCCCTACTACCACCATCCCCAGCCAATCATCAGGGTCATTTCTCCTGGTGCACGATCATAGAATTTAACACATTCCGTTCCATTCAGTTGCTCAGTCGTGTCTGACTCTTTGCGATCCCATGGACTGCAGCACACCAGGCCTCCCCGTCCATCACCAACTCCCAGAGTTTACCCAAACTCATCTCCATTGAGTCAGTGATGCCATCCAACCATTTCATCCTCTGTCATCCCCTTCTCCTTCTGCCTTCAATCTTTCCCAGCATCAGGGTCTTTACAATTATTTCTTTATTTGTTTGTCTCCTGGACAAGACTTTAAATTTCTGGAAGTAACCAGCCTTATCTTACACAAACGTATGTCCACAGAATTTACTCTGATGTCATAGACTGAAATCCAGAATGAATTTGTTGGATTTAATTGAATTTAGTTAAGTTAAAAAACATACTACCCTCAGGGAACAGATCTTATAAACTCTGGTTTAATTATATTGTCATATGGATGCAAACACAGCAAGTTAACACTCAAGGGATAGAAAAAGTTCACCCTAAATGGCTATTTAGGCACAAACTTAAGCCTAAACCAGTCATGCCAAGCATAACACCTTTCTTATCTGCCTCTCACCTCTGCTTTGTTCTTCCTGGGCAATGTGGGGCCCATGCCTTTCTGAGGAACAGAAGGGGGAAGGCAGCTGGGGAGGAAGAGACATACTCTTACAACTTTACAAAACCTTCCTTCACTCCTTAATGGGGGAAGGAAGGTAGAGAGAGCTGCCGCATGTGCTAGAAGCATGTCAGATTGATCTGAGTCCTCTGTACCCTTGTGGCTTGGTATAGGCAGTCCAAATACCAATAGGCAAATACCAGTGACATTACAAGCAGAGCAAACTGGCCCAGGACAATTTTGGTAAAAGACCCACGGTTTTCATCATGACCTTGTATGGAAACAAAACTTGATCTCCTTCATGCTAAAGCTTCCGGAGCTTTCAACCTCCAAAAAGCATGCATGATGGATTGGTTGTACACTAAACCAAAGTAACTTCAGAATCTGACCCCACTCATGTTAATGCTTCTGCAGACCTCAACCTCCAGAAAGTATGCAGGAGATAGTGGTCAGGCATCTGAGACTGAAATAACCTGATAAAAGGTTTGGATCCCTGAGAGAAAAGATGAAAAGAATTTGTCATTCTATTCTTTAATCTCAAGGCAAATGGGCATAGCAGGAGGCAGTTTGAAATGTATAAACTGACAGTTTTTGGAGCCAAAAAAATCTGTGTCCAGTCCTGACTCATTCACTTTTTAGTTCCTATGCTCATTAAAGTTAATACTAAATAATAATAACAACAGCTAACACCAACCAGTCCATCCTAAAGGAGATCAGTCCTGGGTGTTCATTGGAAGGACTGATGTTGAAGCTGAAACTCCAGTACTTTGGCCACCTGATGCGAAGAGCTGACTCATTTGAAAAGACCCTGATGTTGGGAAAGATTGAGGGTAGGAGGAGAAGGGGATGACAGAGGATGAGATGGTTGGACTTACCAACCATCACCAACTCAATGGATATGAGCTTGGGTAGGCTCCAGGAGTTGGTGATGGACAAGGGAGGCCTGGCATACTGCAGTTCATGGGGTCTCAGAGTCAGACATGACTGAGTGACTGAACTGAACTAAACTGAGCACTTACATATGTTTATTACATGCCAGACTGTTCTAAGTGCCTTACATATGTTAAATTATCTTAGTCCTGAGAAAAAGAAAATCCACCAAGAAGACACTTCTATCATATTTTACAGTGAAAGAAACATCACTTCACTGTTAGAATGATTGAGTAAATGGTACATGTTAGTAAACGGCAGAGCCAGGATTCAAACCTAGGCAGTGTAGGTTCTGAACCCATGTAGTCTGGCTTCAAACATCACGCTTACATCCACTGCATTTCCCTGCCTCCACGTGCCTCAGTACATCATCTGACTTTGAGAATCTATGTTTCATTGTCAAGTGGGTATAATGAGGCCAACCATAGTGACATGTTGAAGGATATGGTGTAGGGAGAACCCTGGATACCAAAGGAGCACCTAGACTAGGTCAAGTGCCTTTAATTTTCAACCTGTATGCTCATAATGTGTTATGTGAATTCTAGGAAAATGCTAATAAAGTCAGTTATCTAGAGTATCCAAGAACAGCAAATGTATGGGTGGGTCGGTTGGACAAATTGGATGCTCCAGAATGTACTTTTCTGAAATTTTAATTGTTCCAGAAGGCAGTTTTAGTCTATAAAGTCAATATCTCAATACTTCTAAATAAACAATGGCTTTTGCTGTCAACAGAAGCCCACCAAAGAGCAACAACCAGCTGGAGGTATGAGTCAAAAGGTGGGAGAGCCTGAGGGAAAACAATTATTTAGATCTGGAGCAGCCAGTTCCAGAAAAGTTCCTGATGCATGACCAGAACATTTCTAGAAGAGAAGAGGGAAGGTCAGTGTAATGAGAGGAACCTGCATGATCAAAGGCACGGAGGTGTGAATGAGAACTCCCTTTTCTCAGGGCTAGAGCAGACACAGTGAACAACAGTGAGGATGACGGAGGCCTGGGAAGCTGGACAGAGTGATAGACGTCACACAGTGGAGTGTGGATTTCATTCTGCGTGTGACAGGGAGCCACCGAGAGTTTTGGAAAGGACATCGGACTTGTGCTTTAGCAAGACAATTTGTGCAGTGTTGTGTGTGGATTAAAGGGGAAAGTATAGCCATCAGGGAGACCAATTTTGAGGTAGGAAGTATAAGGGAATTTTTTTCACACCAATATATTAAAATATACACCAAAATACACCATTGTATTAAAATCTTGAGAGAGAAGGACCAAATATTATTTGCACTAAGAGTGAAAATAAATCATTGCTGCCTCTAATGAGATTAAAGCAAAAAGCTGTAGTTCTTAGCAAAACTGCCACGTAAAATTTTAGACACACAAAGAAAATAATTGTGTAATATGCACATATTTCCACCAGAGAATGGAATCTGGATGAAGTGGGCGAAGTAAGCAAAGAAGTAAACAGCGTTCAGAGCTTAAGAAATGCCTTGCTTTTCACCAAGAAGGGCCAACACTGTTTTCTTTGAATTGGCTCTTGTATTTCCTTGAAAAGAAATTGATAGTGTTGTGGAAAATTCAACTATTGAAATAACAACGAAAACTGCAACCCAATATGAGGAAACTGGTATTATGTCAAAGCGACAAGTCACTGAACTTTTGACCCGCACACCCAAAAATGTGGAGAGAATGTTTCAAAAGAATCAAGCCTGAATAATAGAAAACAGCACACCACTTCCCCTCATCCACATCTGACCTTGGGGGGACAGACAGGAACTTGGCCAACTTAGGTCGCCCACACTGGTTATTAATTCTCCACAGAATCCAAAGCTAAATACTGTTTCTTCAAGGTCCCTCCCATGACCCTCTTTCTAAGTGACATGTCCCCTCACTGAACATTCTTCCCCATACTGGTCATTCTCACTACTTGTATGGGTAATTAGTCTAAATATTTGTTCTTCTCAAACAGGGCCTTTTAACTATTCTCTAAATATTTTACGTATACATAGTTTGTTTCTCCAATTTAACAGTAAGCATTTAAAATGGGAATATTTGGGTATATTTTTTATAATACTTTCATTGGGGCATACAAAAAGAAAAAAACAATAAAGCAACAGTAACAATAACAGCTAAGCCAGTCTGAATGCTAGTCATGTTTTCGGCATTGTTTCAAAAGCTATACATGTATTAATCACTACAACAACTACATGAGGTTGATGACATTATTGCTCTCAGTTTATACTTGTGGGAACTGAAGTATAGGAGAGGTAATCATTTTTACCACAGTTACACTTGTAGGCATATGATCTCAGGAAGTCTGATACCAGAATTGTGCTTCAAAGTACCAATTAATGTATTGTTTTCTTTGAATTCGAATTCAAAAAGAAATTTGAAAATCAGAGGTGCTAGGTAGGAACTGGAGACGTGAGCTGGGATCAAGTAAGGTTTGGTTTTTTAAGAATTTGAGAAACAACTTTTTCGTAGTCTCCAAAAGATTTTGTGGCCCATCACACACAGAGTCATCTTTAACTTGGACACCAAGGGAAACATGGTGTCTTGGACCTCAGCCTCCACCGTGTTGCCTCTATTGTAATCTGCTGTCACTTACTGTGATCTGAAAATAATGTGAATAAAGCAAATACAGTGGTAGTAAGCAGAAGAAGCATACCAAACAGAAAACATATTCACTTCTCACTGAACCAATAAACTCTTCTCTCACTTTCTATTTAGTTAATGGCTATGACTGGCCTGTGAGAAGAGTGAGGAGAAATGACTTCAGTGGCCCCACAGGAGTTTGAAGCAGAGAACAGGGCTTCATCAGGCCTGGCACTGTTCCTGGGCACCAAGTCCCTCATCCACCACCACAGTAAGTACCTGCCTTCCTTTAAGCCAGAACAGCACACCCCACTGGAAAGCAGGGCTGAGCTGTGAAAGCTACAGGTACTATCTCCAAGCTGTCCTGGTCTTTGAGGCTTTGTGTTCTAGAATGGTCTATTCATTGTGTTTCAAATTCAATTTTTCTAGTGTACAGCTTAGCACCTTAACTTTCTAACTCTCATGTTTCAGTATAATCTCTTCTCTAGTTCTATCCCTATGCCCACTTGAGTACCTGGCCAGCTCACCATATTCTCATGAAGGGAGGGTTTGACCATAGGTAATATCTTATCAGAGTACAGACTCAACCAACCTGCACCTTAATTCACTCCTACCCTTATCATAGCCATCATGTATCATGCACAAGGCCTATTCTGGGCATAACTGGCAGCAGGGAGATTGTAATAGGACATCTGAGGCCCTACTAGGTAAGCCTCTGGTAATGACATGAAAAGTGAGCCCTCAAACCACTGTGCTGCCCTAAGATCACCAAGTGAGAGAGCCTGGATAGCCTCCCTCCGGAGAGGGACCACTGCAGTCAACACACAGAACCAACCTCGAGAAATCTGAGTGAGGTCCTCTTGTCTCTGCTGTGCTGACAGATGACTGCAGCCATATCAGAAGTGACACGAGGCAGGGCAACAAAAGAAGCACCCAGCTGAGCCCTGGCTCCTCAGATCTCAGACCTTCCCTGCCCAAACTGCTAAGATGTAGTAATTTATGAGTAGATAATATTAAGTAGATTTTGGCAAGGTTTGTTATGAAGAAATAGATAACTTCTAAAATCTCCAAGTGAAAACTGAGAAAAGAATCTTAATATCTCTTAAAGTATCACCATGATACAACATACTATCTTCTTCAACAGTCACCATTAAACCATTAAACCAAGGTATAGTGTCTAACTTCCCTTTCACTACTGCCAGAACTAGAACATCACGCATGCACACATTCTTCAATCTCTTGCCTGCTCTATCAGATGTTCTTCTGGACTTTCCATTTCATATTGCTATATTTCTAGCTCAGTCCTCTTAATTAATCCCATTCCCATATTTCCAGCTTCTTCAGTCAATGAAGAGTAGCCATCACTTACTATGTAGCAGAAACTGTCAGTTTCTCACCATCAATTTATCAAGCAGACACCATTGTTCTGTTCACTTTATATAAGAGAAAGCTGAAGTACAGTAGATTAAGTCTACTCAAAATCAGAAAGCTAGTAATGGTTGATGGAGCTAGGATTTGAATCCAGGCAGAAAGGCTCAAATTCAAACCCTTAAAATTTACACTGGGCTGTACAAAACTCTCCAGGTGACCCCTCAACCCCCCAGGGACTCCAGGCTTTACATTTCAAAACCAAACTCATCCTTTTCTCTTATAAACCTCACATTCCCTTCTTTGATAAATACCATTTACTTACATGCCCAAAGAATAAACTTCCCACACATCACCAGGAGGTGAGGAACCTCACCCCCTGGAATCCATGCACTCTCATTCATCTCACTATCATTGCCTTACATCAGGATATCATTATTTTCATCTTAAATAACTGCAAATAAGCTTGCTGCTAGTGTCCTTACCTGTGACTGGATGGGTGAGCCACTTTTCCTCTTCACTATCTTTTTGTTTTCCCTCAATCCATATCTACATCATTAAGGATATACTTTGCCAGCAGAATATACCATGACAGGTATAAGATAGTTGGCCATACTGGTATGAGTATGATTATGTATGATTATTGGAGCTTGTGGGTGTGTGTTTGTGTGCATGTATGTGTAAGAGGTAAGTGTTGCTTGTGGATAGGGCAACCAATTCCTTCCAGTTTGCCCCACCAAATTTCCCCTATTTTAGCACTAAGAGTCTTACATCCCAGAAAGCTGCTGCCTTCCAGGCAAAACCCAACAACTGGTCAGCCTTCCAGAGGGAGTGACTGAGTAGTGGATTTAACTACGTCATTCAGTGTGGAAGGCTGTGCTGATGTTCTGCCTTCACTGAAGCCAGCTGACATTGTGACTTCTCTCTCTCCCTTTCACAAAACTAACCAGAAAGAGGAGTGACAATAAGTACCACCAGTCTCTTATATCCTTATTTAAATCAACCTACCAGCATCTTCGGAAATAGATGACTGTGGTGTGCTTCTTAAAATGCTGTCTTCACTTGGTTTCCAGCCCTCACACTCTCCTGATTTTTCTCTAGTCTTAATTTCTCAGCCTTCTTTTATGACTCCTCTTTCATTGTCTGTCTTCATGTTGGAAAGCCCCAACCTTCGGTTTGGCCCTAGTGATTTTCTCTTTTAGTATCTACTGGATACATGACCTTATCTAATTCACTCTCAAGTTCACAATCAACTACAGAATAGATACAAAGTCAAGAAGAGGAGATTAAAACGTCACTTTGGTACTGATTTTTAATATATTTATACTGGAGAATATGGTTGAGTCACAGATAACTGGGCTTGCTAATATTTTAGCGACTATCCCATTCAGAGATAGTTACATTTAGACAACCACAGGTTTCTCCCAAAGCAAATAGACTTTTGAAAAACTCACAATATGAAAGATTAGAAAATGTATATTCTCTGAAGGTAGACATCCCCAAAAGATACAGGAAATTAATTAACTGTGAATAGTGGATTCTGTCTTCCAAAATGACCAATTAGTTATGTCAACCCTCTTCCCCTGGGGAACAGTGACTAAGAGAACAGTAAGAAGTCAGGACTGGGACATTGATGGCAGTTGGGCTTCCCTTGTAGCTCAGTCAGTAAAGAATCTTCCTGCAGTGCAGGAGACCTGGGTTTGATCCCTGGGTCAGGAAGATCCCCTGGAGAAGTAAATGGCAACCCACTCCAGTATTCTTGCCTGGAGAATCCCATGGACAGAGGAGCCTGGAAGGCTACAGTCCACAGGCTTGCAAGAGTTGGACACAACATACCAATTTACTTTAATGACTTTCCACTATATCTCCAGCTTCAACCTCTTCCCTGAGATTCAGATTTACATGTCCACCCACCTCCCCAGCCTCTCTGCCTAAAAGTCTAATAAGCATTTCAAACTCAACATGTCTAATAGAGAACTTGAGTTTTTCATTATCCTCTTCACTTCTGGGTTAGTTTGCTCGGTTTGCTTGGGTATTGCTATGCCATAATACAATGCCATAGGCTGGGAGGCTTAAACAATAGAAATTTATTTCCTCACAGTTCTGGAAGCTGGAAATCTAAGATCAAGGTGCCAGCAGGGTTGGTTTCTCCATGGCTTGCAGACAGCCTCCTTCTTGTTTACTTCACATCCCCTTTCTCTGCACACATGCATCCCTGATGTCTTTCTCTTCCTATAAGACCACAAGCCATATTAGATTAGAGCCTGTCTTATGAACTTATTTAGCCTTAATTTCCTCTTTAAAGGCCCTATCTTCAACTACAGTCACACTGGGAATTAGGGTTTCCAAACAGAAACTGGGAGAAAGACAGAATCCAGTCCATTAACAATGTGTTTCCACAATCTGGCCCCCATTTCAGGAAATGGCACTACCATTGACCAGTTGCCAAAATTTTAATAGTGCAGGACATATCCAGCACATTAGCAAGTTATTAACACCATTTCCATATCCCACCACCTCCATTACAGACTCCAGGTTCAACCATTATCTTCAGCTCAGTTCAATCGCTCAGTCATGTCCGACTCTTTGCGACCCCATGAATTGCAGCACGTCAGGCCTCCCTGTCCATCACCAACTCCCAGAGTTTACTCAAACTCATGTCCATAAAGTCGGTGATGCCATCCAGCCATCTCATCCTCCGTCATCCCCTTCTCCTCTTGCCCCCAATCCCTCCCAACATCAGGGTCTTTTCCAATGAGTCAACTCTTTGCATGAGGTGGCCAAAGTACTGGAGTTTCAGCTTCAGCATCAGTCCTTCCAATGAACGCCCAGGACTGATCTCCTTTAGGATGGACTGGTTGGATCTCCTTGCAGTCCAAGGGACTCTCAAGAGTCTTCTCCAACACCACAGTTCAAAAGCATCAATTTTTCAGTGCTCAGCTTTCTTCACAGTCCGATTCTCACATTCATACATGACCACTGGAAAAACCATAGCCTTGACTAGACGGACTTTTGTTGGCAAAGTAATGTCTCTGCTTTTTAATATGCTATCTAGGTTGGTCATAACTTTCCTTCTAAGGAGTAAGTATCTTTTAATTTCATGGCTGCAGTCACCATCTGCAGTGATTTTGGAGCCCAAAAAAATAAAGTCTGACACTGTTTCCACTGTTTCCCCATCTATTTCCCATAAAGTAATGGAACCAGATGCCATGATCTTAACCATTATCTTATACCTGCTCCATTGAGACAATCTCCTAACTGGTCTTCCTGCTTCCTTTCTTGCCCTTCCATAGTCTATTTTCCATATATCCATCAGAGGTATCTTTAAAAGTCAGTCAGATATTACTGCTTCTCTGATTTGAACACTCCCATGGCTTCTCATTACTCTAGAATAAAACCCAGTATAGTCTCTGACTCACCATGATCTATCCCTTACCTCACTGTCCTTGCTGCACATCATGCTTCCCTACCATTCCCTCAACTTCAGTCACTTTGGCCTCCTTGATTTTCTTAAAGCAGGAAAAGCTCATTTCTGTGTCACAACCATTGCAATGTGGTGGTCCTTGTCCTTCTGCCTGGAATTCTGTAGGATTTTTTCTGTTTTCCCCTTTTAATTTTATTTATATCTCTACAACTGTATCTTCCCTAATAGAATCTTCCTTGACTTCCTTATTTATAATACAGCTCCCCCCCACCATGACTCTCCACTCCCTTACCCTCCTCTATTTTCCCTCAAAGCTTTTATGACTACCTGAACCTACAGTGGATTTGTATTTGTTAGTTGTTTACTGTTAGTCTTTTCTATTAGACTGCAAGCTTCAAGAAGCTTCTTGTTCTCCACTGTACTGAGAACAGTTCTTTAGCACAAAACAGAAAATTTGATCATGCTACATGCTTTCTTAA